CTCGCAGGCTCGACAAGCCAAGCAGGCTCGGCTCGTGGGATCGAGCCCCCTACTAGGCTCGGGCTCATTATTTGACGAGCCCGAGCCGTCCACGAGCTGAGTTTTAACGAGTCGAGCGGTCAAGTCGACAAGCCGCTCGACCCGTTTGACATTCCTAGAGGTAAGTAACAGAATTTACGTTTGTGAAATTCAAAATTGAAATGCCTTAAATGTCTAAAACCTGGTTATAAATATAGTTATCTATACCTTAGCAGTGTTGAATTTTGTCCTAGTTTTTGGATTGGATCCTAATACATATAGCTAGCTTCCAATTGTTTTACCTTTTGTACTTTATTTCTTTCGTGCTCTTTCAGTAACACATGACAATCGTAGCTATTGCTCACATTTTCATCTTGTCTGCAAAATCGTACCAATTTCATAAATGTATCTGAGTATGCGGAGGTCACCATGTAAAAGACCCAAGCAGTGCTGACGTTAGAAGGGATGATGAGAAAAAGTCAGCCCTAGTTGAAAAGAGAGAAATTGGCGTTATGGCTCTTGGGACGAGTGTCAAAGAGAGAGTGTTCAAGATATTGTCGTTGAAGGAGATCAAAATGTGAAATTCTACCTTATGTTACGAACACGAATATACCCTTTTATCCTCGTTTATGTTGATATGTTGGTTACGAATAAACCGTGATGCTTGTCTTTGCAATCTAGAATAAATTTTCATATCGGCTTAAACTATTTGATTAGGTTGTCAAGGGTCAGGGGAAGACTCGGGGTTCAATTTCAGTGGGATCAAAATTTAACTAAGAATTTATCTTTTTGCCAAATAAGGCAAAAATGTAATATTAAGCCTCTGTTTAGCCTCCATTATTTTAAAAATTCATTTTCAACGACATATTTACCCATAAAATAATTTTAGATGCAAATTAAAAACTTTTTCTTATTTTCTAACCATACATTTTCTAACAAAATAAAATAAAAACTTGTTTAAAATAAAATAAAAGCTTATTTAAGAAAAAAAAAACGTTACTTAGAAAAATGAAATAAAATAAAAACTTATTTTAAAAAAAAATTTTAAAATGATTTTTTTTTTTGGTTTTTTTAAAATTTATTTTATATATATATATAATGCAAAGTTACAATTTTACCCTTTCTAAAATTAGTGAAAATGATGAAATAAGTTGGGTTGTTATGGCATGGTGACACAAAGTATATAATTAGATGACCATGATAAAATAAACTCAAATTGAATAATCGTGGTAATATTAATTATAAAGTTGAAGGGGGAATTGGCGGATTTAACCCACGTGGTATATCACCTAAAACAGATGGCATAAAAGACATTTCAATTTCCCTTGCTTTCCACGTCCAAGACTGAAAATGGAAGTATACTCTGTAGGGATGTAAACGAGCCGAGCCGAGCCGGCTCGCGAGCCGAAATTTTGGGCTCGGGCTCGGTATGGTTAGTTAATATTTTTGTTCATACTATTTCTATTTTATTTATAGAGTTTTTCATAACATTTAAGTAGTTGATTATTTTAAGAGAAAATATTCCAATAGTATGAAATTTACAAATTTAGTTGCCAGAAATCCCACTTTATTCAGCTTCTAGGGATGTGCGAATTAGAAATTTAAATTTATGAGCCATAAGTCGTTTAAAATAACATTGACCTTTCTATAAATAATTTTTTTTAGGTAGCGATTTGAATTTAAAATTTTTGGGTCGTTACATGGATAGTAGGTGTTGACCTTAATTTCTATTGGGGTAATGTGGTCAACAAGTACATATTCCACGTAGATAACTTTTTGTGCACGGTAGCAAACCGTTAGTCACTCATAACCTTTTTCGGAGGTATAGTGGAGGCAGCGGCGAGTGCTACGACGATCTCATCAATGAACTTTCAAGAAGAAAAGAAACAACATACTTGAATTGATTCAAGATCCCTTACAACCCGAAAGTGACTCTCTATCGAAGCACCTGCGGCCCATGAATCTTCTTTGGCCTTAAACTTAAACTACTACCTTGTTGCTTTCCTCTCCGCTCCTTAAGTTGGAAGATCTGCCTCTAGTACTTCATTTCATGAATATAGCTTTTAGAAAGGAATAAAGTAGCTCGACTATAAAGGAGAGAAAATGAAAAGATGTCGCATTTCAGTTTTCGATATTCTCTTATTAAACAAGGCGGGATATGTGAAAATATTAGAGCAAAGTGCATGTTTAAGTGTATAGGATTGCATTACCCTTGAAATGGAAATAAGTGAGAGTATTTATAATGGAAGATGCAGATTTGGAACCGTTGGACAGAGGGATATTTGGTCTTATCTGCTGGCCAATGAGTCCCCTCCTAGATATCAAGCAATCAATCCCTATATGGGCTAGGCATTAATGCTCCCTAATGAGTGAATTTTGTGACTTGACCTTTTGGCTTCTGCTGCGCAAGCATCATACAATGAACCGTATGGATCTTATTTTGGTAGTTTTTTGTAAAAAAAAATAAAAAATCCCCTATTTAATATAGATGAGGTGACATGATATTGTTCCAACAGACGTTGTTCCATGTGTTATCGTTTCAGCGCATATCCTTCAGATGATAGGGAGGGCGGTCCTAGTTGACTTGCTTAGTTGGCTGCCACGTTGACGACGATCTGGAGTCTCTTCATAAGAGGCATAACAGGAGGATTTTCTGATTTGCATAGAGGTAAGTAACATAATATACGTTTGTGAAATTCAAAATTTTAAATGTCTAAAACCTGGTTATAAATATAGTTATCTATACCTTAGCAGTGTTGAAATTTGTCCTAGTTTTTGGTTGGATCCTAATACATATAGATAGCTTCCAATTGTTTTACCTTTTGTACTTTATTTCTTTCGTGCTCTTTCAGTAACACATGACAGTCGTAGCTATTGCTCACATTTTCATCTTGTCTGCAAAATCGTACCAATTTTATAAATGTATCTGAGTATGCGGAGATCACCATGTAAAAGACACAAGCAGTGCTGAAGTTAGAAGGGATGATGAGAAAAAGTCAACCCTAGTTGAAAAGAGAGAAATTGACGTTAAGGCTCTTGGGACGAGTGTCAAAGAGAGCGTTCAAGATATTGTCGTTGAAGGAGGTCAAAATGTGAAATTCTACCTTGTGTTACGAACACGAATACACCCTTTTATCCTCGTTTATGTTGATATGTTGGTTACGAAAAAAACCGTGATGCTTGTCTTTGCAATCTATAATAAATTTTCATGTCGGCTTAAACTATTTGATTAGGTTGTCAAGGATCAGGGGAAGACTCGGGGTTCAATTTCAGTGGGATCAAAATTTAACTAAGAATTTATCTTTTTGCCAAATAAGGCAAAAATGTAATATTAAGCCTATGTTTGGCCTCCATTATTTTAAAAATTCATTTTCAACGACATATTTACCCATAAAATAATTTTAGTCGCAAATTAAAAACTTTTTCTTATTTTCTAACCATACATTCTCTAACAAAATAAAATAAAAACTTGTTTAAAATAAAATAAAAGCTTATTTAAAAAAAACGTTACTTAGAAAAATGAAATAAAATAAAAACTTATTTTAAAAAAAAATTTAAAATGAATTTTTTTTTTTGGTTTCTTTAAAATTTATGATATATATATATATATATATATATATATATATATATATAATGCAAAGTTACCATTTTACCGTTTTTAAAATTAGTGAAAATGATGAAAAAAGTTGGGTTGTTATGGCATGGTGACACAAAGTATATAATTAGATGATCATGATAAAATAAAATCAAATTGAATGATCGTGATGATGTTAATTATAAAGTTGAACGGGAATTGGCGGATTTAACCCACGTGGTATATCACCTAAAACAGATGGCATAAAAGACATTTCAATTTCCCTTGCTTTCCACATCCAAGACTGAAAATGGAAGTATACTCTGCAAACTCCAGGGAAGTTGGAAGATGTGGCTGCAATTTACCGCCGGAAACAGAGTTCAGGTAAAAAAATTCAATTAAATCTCGATTTTCTGTTCATTCAAGGTTTATCCAGTTCTATTCAAGAACCCATATCTTATAGTATTATTTTTGTTCTTTTTTATCGATCTTCCTTGTTCATTCTTGCCCATTTTCTTCCGTCTTGATCTTCACATTTGTGTTGCCAGTTCAACATTTCATCGAGATCAAGGTGGGCGAGCCAAGTACTAAGCTTTGAATGTTGACCCTAAAGTTATTAAAACAGTTGTAATTATCTGTTCTCGGACTTCAGGCTCTCCTCTTGTAGATTCCTAGTTCTGGTTGACCCTCTATAAAATTTGCATAGGCTTCTAGAAATAGTCAATGTTGCAATAGAGATTCATGTTTTCAAAGCTGAGTAGAAGGTTAATTTTACTATATATGGACGTCATTCGAGAGAGTTCTCAAAATACTTTGCCACTTTTCACATCTCTCTCCACATTGATCCTTATTAAGAAATTTCCTCAATTTCTATATATAATAGAGGTTTAGTGGCCTCTACGTGTGTATGTGTGTGGATAAACATGTGTAAATGTCTTGTTTTGATTCTAACTTATGCATATAGTTTAGTGCAGGTTCTTTATTTGCTGTTTCAGAAGCACATTGCAACTAGATTCGAGATGTGCGTAAATATCTTGTAGGACAATCTTGGCAATTCAGTGAGTTGATTGAAGAAATATAGAAAAGTATAACGTAGATTTTGCTTTTGGATGCAAGTAATCTTCTGACAAGTATGGCTAGTACTTCATCAAACTTGGATCCAAATCTCACTGACAACACAAATACTGGTAAGTTAGAAAATATTCTTCAGGTTACCTCAGACATATAAGTAAAAAGTTTCATTCTATTATGTGAAGGCATCTTTTTAATTGGCATATGTTGACATGCCAGAAAAGGATCTCAGCTTCTACCTACCACTGTATAAGGCTGCAATCAAAGGTGATTGGGAGAGTGCTAGTATATTATTTGATTCAAATCCAGAAGCAGTCACGGCCAGGATCACAAAGAATTTGGAGACAATTCTTCACATTGCAGTTGGAAGAAGTGAAGCAATTCATTTTGTGGAGAAGTTAGTGGAATTGATGCCAGATGAAGCATTGCCTCTGACAAGTAAATTTAGTGAGAATGCCCTACACTACGCTGCCAAATATGGCAATACCAAGGCAGCAAATATATTAGTGACCCGAGATCCAGGTTTATCTCACATTTGGAATGATACCAACTTATTACCTCTCCATTTAGCTGCACTTTTTGGGCACAAGGAAATGGTTCTGTTTCTATTGTCTGTTACCAAAGACAATATACAGCCGAACCCTTTTGCAGATAAACCTGGAATTACTCTCCTGATGGCTATAGTACACTCAGGATTCTTTGGTGAGTAATGATATTGCACTCGATTAATTGTTGCAAAAAACATTATAATAAATGCCAATATAATAAAAACCTTGGCTATTAAATTGCAGTTCTTTGATTTGGAGAGTGTAAGGAAATCTAGCATTTATGCTGGACTTGGATTGATGATCATGTACTTACATTTATCTGTGTATTTCTGCAGATGTGGCTCTGGATCTTGTTCAGTGTTATCCTAAGTTGGCTGTAACTATATCTCCAGGTGGCAACACAGCTTTGAGTATTTTAGCTGGAAAGCCTTCAGCATTTCTGAGTGGAAGTTCCTTAGGGTTTTGGCAGAAGTTCATCTATTCATGTTAGTTTCCGCAACTCCATTTTGCATCCTAATCCATCTTTGAAACTTTCTTCTACACTTTGGAGTATGCTGCTCCTGCCGACATCAAGATAACTGCGTAGTAAATGTCCACATGCCTGTATGAAAATGATTTTGCAACTGGCATCTAATAAGTCTGAATCATTACTCGCCTAATGCAAATAATGCATAATTCTTGTCCTTCACCTTTCCTATGAATTGATTTGCCAACCACGTGGACTGATTATGTGCTTCTTAGCATCATAATGATCCATTAGGCAACTTACTTGTGGTTCGGATCGATTCATAAGAATTCACATATCCCAATAAATAATGATTTTGATTTAAACTATCTTATATATGAGTTAAATTGGCTAAGGTTATAGGTCATAGTTATTACAGAGAACCAAAATCTCTAGCAGCCTAGCTGCAGTTTCTCTTTCCAACCTAGCTAGCTGGGTTAAGTTGGAAGGTTTTATTGTGTTCCTCGTGCATGCACACCAGTTGACTGGCCTCATGCAGCCAGGGATTTCCCAACAAAAGAATGAAAGATTGACGAAATCTCATAGAGTCATTCAATCTGAATGCTATAAAGAGTGATACAGAGAAAGCTACTGTAATTCACTCGTGCAGTACCCTGAGCACAAATGCATGCAGTTCCAACCTTTATCCCATGCTGGATCCATAAGGGATAGAAGATTACTCTACGTTGTTGTTTTTGAATGTTAGCAGATAGAGGAAAGAGAAGAGAAAGGGGAGGAGGGAAATTTTTCTAGAAATTCCTTCTTGCAAATCCCAGATATGAAAGTGACTTGCGTATATTTTTCTCTCAAGATAATCAGTTCAGTCTTTCCTGAACTCATGAGTTTTAAGGCATCATTAGATATTCAATTGGTCAAATGAGTATGATTCTTTCTTAACCTCATTTTTTTCCCCACAAATACTTCATTTTTTTAAAACACAAATCATGTGGACATCTTTTTCCCGAAGGCTATATTCTGATGCCCACCAACTCTTTTATGATCTTAAGATTTAAGTTTAGGCCCTCTGTTTCTTATGTTCTTTAGAGACAAGTGACTGGTTGTCCTACTCATTTTACTTGAAACATTTATGACATTGTAAAACTTCATCACTGTTTTGGTGTTTCAAATGAATTTAGCGTGTCATGATGTAAAATGCTTTTATGGAATACAGAATAAAGATTATGTTAGGTGATGTTAAGAAAGATGGTTTTCTTCAAATGGTGCAGCAAATTAAAGAGTCTGCGGCATCTAAAGATTCTAGAATCTAGGTAAAAAAAATGATGATCATAATTTTTTCTTTTGTGTGAAGTACATTCCTTCAAATATTTAGCAAGTTTGAGATTGAAATTATATATCATTAGAAGATATGTAATTAAAATTCAAGCATCAAGTCATTCCACATTTCAAATTTTTGGAGATGACTAAGATGGGGAGACTAGAGATATGCTGAAAGCAACTGGACACTGTAGAAGAGCCTGGACTACTTTAATGCAGGCACTAAGTGGTGCAAAAAAGAAATTTGCATCTATTCAGAAGGAATCATAGTTTCTTTATTATCCTTTTGCTTTCATGCTTAAACTCGAAAAGGTCATTGCAATTTTTCATAGTTGCAATTTACGGGTTTGGTCAAAGAGACATATTTATCTGTTTCTTCTTGCAGGTGTTCCAGTAAAGTTGGCTAAAATCTCTTACCGCCAGAATAGAAATGACATTGAGAACTTTTCTGAGCCACCACCGAAGCACATTGGTATATGCTACCGTGTTCTGATTCAAAATTTCAGAAAAGATTACCTACTTTTTGGTATGCGAAGATTTCCTTGGTATATTCACCTTTTTAAATAATTTCAAGTTTTTATAAATGAATGGCACCTGAAACATAATTGCCATTTTGCAACTTCTATAACATCAAGTGTCACAGACTGGTAATACAATCAACTATTATAGAAAAATGTGGTTGCAGCACTTTCAATTTGCACAACTGTGAGTTCTTTCTGGTTGGGAAAATATCGTATTCTAAACTCTGCTACAAAAGGCCTCTTCTTTTGTACAAGGTTTCCAGATTTGTCACATAAAGGTGTAAAATGCAAGATGCCATCCAGTGTTTATGGACATTTGAGTGTTACCTATGCTTAGCTCTTAATAACAAAAAGAAATTTACCAGTTTCTTAATGAAATGCCACAGTGCTTTGACATTCTCTTTCTAGATCTACTTTGATGCTTTTGGTTCAGTTTGAACATTTTCTTCATTGTTATGTTGAGCAGCATGCCAAAAGTTGCATAAGAAATTCTGGGAAGTCATACAAGCAATAGGTATGTACATAAAAGGTATCTCTTTGGCTAGTCAAAATTTCTGAAGGAAGCTCTTCCATGCATCATGTGATTTTTATTGCAGTGCCGCATGTTAAGCATATACATGAAACAAAGTTGATGCATTGCCAAGCAATTGAACTCGTCAAGTTCTTATGCATGGAAATTCCACACACAGATAACTCTACTTCTGGCTCCATATATAAACCAGCAGTCATTAATGCAACAACTCTTGGACATTATGAAGTTTTGGAAGAAATTTTGAAGGCATTTCCTAGTGCAATTTGGTCATTAGATAAGGAGAACCACGATTTGTTCCAAATGGCTGTTATTAACAGACACGATACTATTTTCAATCTCCTATATGAGTTGGATGAGCATGCACATTTGGTGACACAAAATACTGATAATCACGACAACAATATATTGCACTTGGCTGGGAAGTTGGCACCTCAGCACCGTCTTAATCTTGTAGCTGGTGCAGCTTTGCAGATGCAACGCGAGTTACAGTGGTATAAGGTGATAAATCTCCTTCATGCTTTTGTCTCCTTTTCTTTTCTGGGGTGAGTGGGTGGGACTCCTGAATTATCGTCACAGCCATGTATCCTTACCTGTGTATTGTATATATACTTCAAATGAGGCTTCTAAACAGTTTGCTTATTCAAAATTTTGCTCTCCTATGGCATTTCAAAAGTCGCTATAAAATGATCTTGGTCTTCTTAACCTTGCTGCTTTCATGCAGGAGGTACAAAAATTTGTGACGCCAAGCTACACTGGAAAGGAAAATTCTGAAGGGAAGACGCCTGCTATGGTTTTTACCGAGGAACACAAGGATTTGATAGAAAAGGGTGAAGACTGGTTGAAAGAAACTGCTAAATCATGCACATTTGCCGGAACTCTTATTGCCACAGTTGTGTTCGCTGCGGCCATAACAGTGCCAGGTGGTAGTAGTGGTGAGAGTGGAATACCCATCTTCGAAAAGGAAAGGCCTTTTATTGTCTTTGCCATTTCAAATGCTGTCTCTTTATTTTCGTCTGTTACTTCTGTGTTGATGTTCTTGTCTGTTCTCACCTCACGCTATGCTGAAACAGATTTTCTATACTCCCTCCCAAATAAGTTAATCATAGGTCTTCTTAACCTACTTCTTTCCTTGGGAACCATGACGATAGCTTTCAGTGCCGCAATTTATATTGTTTTCGGGCATAAAAAGACCATGATCCTTATTCCACTCATTGTGTTAGCCCGCCTTCCAGTTATCTTGTTTTTGCCCTTACAGTATCCTCTTCTAAAGGATATGATCAGATCAACATATGGCCCTGGAATTTTTGGTAAGCGAAAGAAATCCTTGTTTGAAAAATTGGGGGCTAGATAAGAGTTTCGTTTATCTTGTTTGAACCTTTCTAATTGTATTTTCTTTTGAAACTGCACCCTATCAATGTATAAATTCAAATTTACTGTATTGTCAGAATCAAGCGTGCAGTACCTTAAACAAAGCCAGCATGGGTTGTTCAGTACCGAGGATAGAAGGATAGAACAGGATTAAGTGAGAAATATATTTCACAAATTTACCGGTTGTAATGTTGAGTTTGACTCTATTGTACCTAGAATTTTTGATGTTCGAACTCTTCGAAATAACTGGAGTACCCGTGTTGACACGACATGACAAGAGTAAGAGTACTTTAACCCGACACGGCAATGTATACACATGTAAATATCTTTTAGCTATTATAATGTTTTTAGGTTAATCAAGTTGACAAAAAAAAAGTCATATTAACAGTATTAATATGTTAATAAGGTTGATAGAAAAGCCATATTTACAATATTTAGACTTTTTTTAGTCATATCTTTATATCCTAGATTTTAGAAAATAAAATATTCGACATTTAAATACATATTAGCATCCGATACCTGTACTCTAATCTGAGATTCATAGCCTCGCATGATGCACAAGTATTTTGCAACCCATTTATATCTGCAAAGAGTTATCAGGCTGTATGACTTTCCTCCAAGAGAGAGTTCTCTGTTTAAAGTTTTTGGCTAGCACCTTAAGTGCCACAATCCTGTTTCTGCTTGGCATAAAGTTGTTAATTTATGATGTGCATCACGATCAAACACAATCAGTTCCTTCTGCTCCTAGTTAACGCCCTAACCATGTTCCATCTGAACTTCTAAGAAGGGGCCAAAAGAGCAAGGAGCGAAAAAGTAAAATAAAAATGGGGAATTTACATAAATGTCACTAAAATTGAAAATGGATAAAAAAAAATTCATTTGCACCAATTTCTTCCGAAAATGTCACCTTTTTTTTTTTTTAATGCAAAATGTTCACTTTACCCTTTATGACACCTTTTTAGGAGCAATAAATACTTGATTTGAATGCAATTAATGGTGTAATGTGATGATTTGTTTGATTTATTTTAAACATTTAAGATATGATTATTATATTGTATAATATGAATTTTTGTTTAAAAAATGGGTGAAAAGTTAAAAAAAAAAAACAAAAAAAAAACCACACACACGCATGCACACACATACAAGTATGTATGAACACAAACCGTACACTCTTCTTCTTCATTTTCATTCCATCATCAATAAAAGAAAGCTATTGATCAATCTCAAAGGTCAGCTATTAGAAATTGTTTATATTTTCATCTCATAGTTTACTACTTTAGATGTTTAATACAACATAATTGTATTTAATTGAACTTTTTGAATCTTTTATTCATTAATGTGTTTTATTTTTGATATATTTTTCAAAGGGAAAAAATACCAACATCCTTTAGAAAAATATGAAATATTTCATATTTAATAAAGCATTGAGTCATTCCTTATTTATTTGTGAGAAGATATTGTGATGTTGTAGTTAAGAATTGATTATCACCATTAATGTTTTCAATCTCTTCCAAAGAACTAAATACATGGTTTTCAAGCTTTCCTGAAATTTATGGCAGTTCAACTATCGAGTAATGTCGTCGAAATCGTCGGGTTAGACATTTGAACTGTTGAACTCGACATTTACTCACTGTCGGGATAGCCAATTTAACAGTCAACTTCGACACTTGAAAATTGTTGAAACTCTTTATTTTCCTTTTTACTATTATATGGATCTAAATATTCGAAAACTCAAATTTGATGGTATTAAATATCGACATATGGAATGTGCAAAATTCTCACATTTGCAATTTTAACATTTCAGGTATGAGTCATCACTTGTGATTCATAGGGGAAAGTTTGTTCAACCCCCAATGTAATATAAGTTTCTTGAACAACCATTCAATGTCGTTATTGACGTTGTATGTCGAATGTTCCCCCTACTGCGTTGTACATTATCAAGTTATATTATAGCTTTGTTGTCATTATTGTTTGCAACCATTATTGCTCATTATGTTGTCATTATCGAACTCTACTACTGTTGAAAATAATTCAACCACACCATTCAAAAACTGTTATCACAATCCACTAAAAAATTCAACTTTAATCCCCACAATACACATTGTTTCTAAGTTGTAAATAGTGGACTCATTAGACGTATAAATGATAAACACCATTAATGTTAAATCGTATTATTATGGAGAAAAAGAGGAGGACAATTACAAAATTGGATTGAATTATTTACTACAATATTAGAGGTGGAGTATTTTTTGTACTTTAAAAAAAAAATCAACAATTTAACGTTTTCATTATCTTTATTCTTTTTTATCATATTTATAACCTATTAATTTTATTGGAGCGTACATATCTTGCATAAAGGTATTTTCAACTTACGGTGTTCCCCATCACATTCTCAACTTGCATTACTGTCTTCAACTTACATCGTCATTATCATTCTCACATCATTCACAGATAGGCAAATATATGTTCAACTTCACAAGTAAAATACAGATCCATAGGCAACATATTGCATGACAACTCAACAGTTCATCTGCCGTTCTTGAAGAATTATTTATGTCATCATCGACACTTGGTCATGACAAATGGCATGAATAATTTTCAACAGTTCATTGCAATTGAGTAAAGTACACTAAAAATTTCAATGTAACAAATATTCGAATACACAGCATTATATATATACATTATCACATGAATCCCTGACAGAAACTAGAGACCATAAATATAGTCTACACATAAGCATAATAGTTGAAAAATTAACAAATTTAGCTATGTTACCATTGAATTTCACCTAGGAGCACACAACATTTAAACAACGGTTACAACAAACTAAAATATTTGTGTGCATCACTAATAGAAATTGTAAAATATTTTAAAGTAAAAAGCTATACAAAAGTACTGTCACAATACGTTGCTATTGTGAAATAAATACATCCAAAAGTACTATCACTTCATTAACTATTTAAAACAACTGTTATATTATCCTTGAGAATGTGTAACTATTTCCCTAGTTAACTCCTACAATGTATCTGATATGTTGCTTGATTTAACGTTGGTTGACTTTCTATCCACTTCCCCTCGTGAATGGAGTACTAGTCAATACAGCAGGCACTCGAACATGTGTCGATCGTTGCATATTTGCATTAACATCATCGTCACCTTGAACGGTATGGTTGATGCCAGTGGTACATCGGTGTATACTCCTATGCAAAAGTGTTTTGAGTTGTATTAGATACCAAAATTTAATAATGGAAGAAAATATCAGTTTCTACCAAAATTTGAAGTATAACATCGAAATGATACGTTTATCTTCAACTAAACATATTTAACGTAAAATATAAGAATTTGACATTATATAACTACCCCTCTACGGAACTTACTATTTTCTACAAGCATAGGGAACTTCGTAACTGTTGGGTCATGTACCTTTCGATTAGACACCTTTATACGAAATAATCAAGTTTTCAATGCCAAGGTTAAGAAATCAAAACATTCTAATATTTATTTTTTAAAACTGAAAGTAGTAGCACATGCCAATTGCCTCTTTTACCCATCTAGTCAATGGACCTTTCGATAGTTTGGACTACTAACTTTCAGGTTAGTATTTTAATATTTTTCAGGTCAAAAATTATATCGATCAAATGTATTTAATTGACAATTTTCAGTAAAATAAGTTATAAGCAATTCAATTACCTGAAAAAAATTCATTTTGTTTCCACCCAAATTCTATTTTTGCAATCAAATGGATCCTTAGTCTATGTTGAGAAAAGGAATTAGGATGCAACGGAGTTTGATACCTTGTATCAATATAATTCACGCTGCATCTGCGGAGCAGCACCAGAGATACCTTGAGGCGCCAGTTTTCCAGCCAAGTGCAAAAGATTATTTCCTTTAAAAACCCAAAGCTGCAAAGCCAACTGTTTGTGCTTCCTCATTTGATACAAAAGGTTGAAAACATTCTCTCTTCGATTTGTTACTGCTAGTAGAACTATGTTGTGTCCCGTTTGATTCCTTGACCAAATTGCAGGTGGAAATGAGTCCGAAATCTCCTCAACAATCTCAATGTTTCCCATACTTGCCCCCAAATGGACTGGCATTTCAACATTGAAGTGGCTGCTGAATAATCCAACTAATTGAAGTTCTTGTTGATGCATCAAACTAGCATTCTGACTGAATCTCGCTTGTGGCGCTGCAATTCAATTTTTACCTGAAGCGAGATTAATCTAAGTGAAACCCTCTTTGTCTTTAAGAAAGGTGTTAGGCCCAGATACAACTAATTTGTGGATCAATATATACAACAATTAAATGAAATTGCAGAAAATTTAAGAAATCAGAACACAAGATATGATTTCGCCCAAAATGGGCATGGATGTTCAATCTTGCGACATAATCACCCGTTGAGCATCTACAATAAGATATAGATCTAGATCCACTAACAATAACCAAGAAATCATTAAAGAATATACGAAGAAACCATAAGTTTCTTCAAGTTCTTTCTAGCCTCTTTACAACCCGTAATCACAACACTCAATTTCAAAGATTGCACTAAACAATCAGCCTTACAAGAAAAGAGATTAAAGAACCACACAGATTGATTACAGATATCCAGAAGAGAAAACCTTAACTATCACTCAGAGAAAGGGATGAAGAGACTGTATCGAACTATCTCAACCAAAAAGGGCCAAAACCAAGTTAAATATCCAGTCAAGTCAATGGTCACAATCCAAGGATTACAAATCGGCCACGTGCACGGCTGATTCTCAACCCTGAAGAGACAAAGTCGTGTGAACCTGAAAACACGATTCTCTTAATTGTATTAACCCAGATTGAAAATAGCCCAATTCTGCATAGGCCTAAATAAGCTAAGAAAAAGAAAGACAGCCCTATACATTAACAATCTCCACCTTGCTGAATTGTTTCTTGGCATTTATTAATGGATCTATTCACCTACATCTCATAGCTTCACTTGCTCTAATAATACCTGTAAAAAAATTTCAGTTAGTACGTGTCTTTCAAGAGATACTTGAAGATCTTATCATCACTACCTCAAGTGATATTTAGAATCTTCAAATAACTTCTAAACTTCTTTAAAGGCAGTACCTTAGTCCCAAATCTGAAAGATTGAATTCTGTAGCTATTATAGTCAAATTAATCAAACCTTTTTTCTACTATATTTCTCACAAAATGAAATTTTATATTTATATGTTTAGTTTTATCATGGTACATAGGATTTTTACTCAAGTGAATGG